TTTGAGCGAGTGAGCAAGAAGTGCCCTGCGTCCCTCTTTGTGACACTTCAGCGATTCATGACGTATTCCAACTCATTGGAAATTGAGTAATGCTCTCCTCTCGCTTGTCGTCAGATTGATCCGCTTTGTGTTTACATAGCAGACCAGAGGGAAAGAAATAACGCGGAAGAAGCACAACGATTTGGGGCGTGAGCGAGTTTAAGGAAGATCAAGTCGACCTCGAACTTTTCTCGCGTGCGAAAGATAGTTTTTTTTTATTTTTAAATGCCCTCATAAAATTTGTTCTTGTTTTTATTTTGTGTTTCCCGAGAGAAGGAAAAAAATGTCGCTCAAAAGAAAATAGCTTCGCTCGGGAAAATAGCCAGCGAGCTTGAAAACAAGACGCCGAAAATTTGACGTCAGCGCCAGGCACTGAGTCGTACATCAAAGCGTTGCACCAGGCGCTATACTTGTACGAGTGCGAAGTTCACACAGATACACACGTGGAGGTGCAGCAACTCGACTGGACTTTTCTTTGAAGAATGTCCCTTTGCGGACTTTCTTCTCTCGCTCGATTTTCCGATTTTACGCCACAGAAAGGGTTGACCGTGTCCGGCTTTTACTAACCCTTCGCGTAGTCTCACGTCCACGGATAGCTTATTTCCTTTTTTTCCTTTTCTTTTTAATACGCGCTACGGCTTAAAGGTCTTTGTCAACTGTTTTGTTTTTTTTCGTTTTTTCTTTTTGATAACACAACGCTATGAGCTTAGCTTCATACCTTGGCTAAATTAAAAAATACTTTAACAAGTTTGACACCCACCAACCAGAATTTTTCGTCTTTACATAAAAGGCACTCATGCGCAAACCATGCAGTATACAAAATGAAAAATAGCTATAATTGATTAGAACGCCAAGTATTTTTTGTTATTTCTAACAACGACATCAGCCTGAGCATCAGCATGCCGGGCAACAAACTTGAAATCGTCCATCGACGATCCGATATACATGTGTACACGCGCAATCAGTGGCGACTCGCTTTACACGAGCGAGCAGCTTCTGGACAGCCCCTGCAGCCGCAGCCGCAGCAGCAGCAGTGGATGGAACGACCGAAAGTGCAAGCAGCGTTGGCAAGATTTATGCGCGATGCTCCCCTCGAATTAAGCGGCCTGGTAATACTGCGATCGGGTGTCGCTGTAATTGGGACCCCGGGGACTCGAACCTCGACACCTACGCTGCCACTGCTGCTACTCTCTGTTTACGCATGTCGGATATGCGACGATTCGATGCTGCGCTGTAACCGCCACGACGATTAATCTTCCCTGCGATCGAGCTCCTGTTTCCATTATTTTGCAGTCCGAGCTGTTGATTGTTCGCTTGTTGTGGTAGAGTTATATACGTGCTCGAACTTTGATGAATCATTCCAGAATGGACTCGCGTCAAACCGAAACAAAGGAACTCGATGGCTTTCTAGATCGTATTAGATTCCGAAATTTCTCATTTCGCAAGCCAATCGCACAATCTATTTTCAAAATTGCTGTACAAATAGTTATTGAGTTTTAATGCATATTCTCACCGATCGCAAGTGCTTCTGTACTCGAAACCGATCGACGTATCATACTTGAGAATTGACTCTTTGAGAAGTTGTTCGCGAACTATATCACGATATGAGATATGCATTAAAAACGTACAGTATGATTTAAAAGGTTATGCGTTTTTGTGTATTGAATGTTTGCTATATCAGTAAAGTTTCGATAAACATTGTTTTCTAATCAACCAAAGCACGAAGCTGATTCTAACTTGAAAACTAACTTTACTTGTTTGATTTGTGATCAAGTTCTGTCAGAGACAATAAATTACAAACAGCGTTGGCAAAGAGACTATACGTTTACCCATTAACGTTCAGCAGTAGCAGCGCAGCATCCGAAAATCCATGTAATCCAAAAGTGGCGTGCAGACGTGCGAGATAAGCCTCGATTCGCCCATAAAGGTCATCCACGCTTGCTCCTCGACGGTGTGTGTGCCTTATTGTTCGCGAGAGAGAGAGAGAGAGAGAGAGAGAGAGACTTGGCGTTTCGCTTTCTCGTTCCCCCTATACACCACGGCGAGCTTCGCTTTGGCACCCTCTTTCACCGGCGAGCGCCAGTCCGCTAAACAGGCCTAATATCTTTTTACCCCCCTTTAAGATTTTACGCGCGCGTTCTGCCGATCCTTGCGGCTGTGGCTTGTACGGACAACTTGGACTCGTAAAAGAAAGAGAGAAAGGAACAAAAAGCTAATTTATTTGAAGCACTCTGACTTCCGCGGCAGTGCGGCGGTCTGCTTGCGTCTTATAAAAATTGATGTGCCGCGGGAATTAGAACCTCGGCCCGTGGAACGTTAAGTCGCGGATACTTTTACCGACACGAGCTTTATTGATAATAAGAGCGGGAAGGAGCAGGTTAGCGTTATTGCTCGCGTGATTTCGAGTCGTTTTCTTAATGAAATCATTGCTTTTCCAAAATTCCATTACAGAAAAATTATCAAGGAACACTACAACTCGTACAAATAGCAAGCCTCGTTGACAATACGAGAGATAACGCGCGATGATCGCAGTATCGATAAAAGTGATAAAGTCGATAAAAGCGAAAGCGAGAGGCCGTAGACCTCCTCGGCGTTGTAGGAAATATTTGAGTGGAAACGCCCTCGTTAGCGTGATTAGGCTTTTCTTAGGCGCGCAAACGAGGGCGGACATATCGTGGAGACGCGGTTGGTCATTAGTTCGATTGGCTCCGAAATACATTTTCGGCGGAGCAGAGCGTAAATATGTATCCGCGCGGAGCACCAGAGAGGACCGCGCGAGTGAGCTGCTCATCAATCATCTTTGTGAGCGCGCACAAATTACTTATCGCCCGGCCAACCGATGCGCGCGCGAGTCTCGAAGGCGCGCGCGTTAAAGAAATTAAACGACACGCGGCGAACGAAAAAAAAAAGGAAAATCGGCCGACGATGCGGAGGTCTTGTTAACTGGAAGAGCGCGTTGTTCCCTGTGCACGCGAGGCAACAGAAGCAAGACAACGGTCAGAACTCTGCGAATTCCCGAGTGAGTGACGTCCACTTGCAAATGAGTTCTCAGTGGTCTTGAATAAGCCGATAACGATAAACCGCAAACAAAGAAAAATCTCTCTTGTCCCAGCGGCATCCACGCAAACATTTCCATTATCCGTAATGTAAGACCAGCCCCGCAAAGAGGAAAAAAATTGCTTGGAGGCGAGGGAAAGCACTTACTTTTCGCGAGTCAACACATCGTCGTTAGAAAAGAAGGAATCGCCGTCAGCGACAAACAGACGCGCACGTCGACGAAAGATATCGGGCATCGGGCAAAAAGGAATCGGTGTCGCGCGCTGTCGTATTCATGTATTGACACGGGGACCTGCTTGACTAATGGACCGGCTTGTTGTTCCAGGCTCGTGTTACCCTTGCGACCGCGCAGACCGTATACCATTTCTACTGCCAACCCAACCCTCGCGCCGGAAATTCCGGCCTAGTCTATTTTTTATCCCTCCATTGCGATTCTTGCTATCGTCGCGCTAACCTTCGCCATTGATGACCGCACATGTTGATTTTCTTATCATATGTATATGTATATGTACGTACGAGTTATTACTCAAATTAAAAAAATAACAGACGCTTTGTGAGCTGCTGTTGTATAAATTGGTAAAAGATACGACGTAGCGACATACACAAGTCTTTGAGAAAGCGCGGCATAAAGCCAAAGAATAACGCCAGTAGTAGCTTATCCTGCTTCTTGCTCTTCTCCTTCTTCATCATCTCTCTCTCTCTCTCTCTCTCTCTCTCTCTCTCTCTCTCTCTCTCTCTCGCTCTCTCGTCTTAGGGCTTGTCTCTTTTTTAATAAGGCTCGCGTGCGACTTTACATATTTATCTCTGGTTGGCCTTTGTGCTCGCGTCAGGTTGCACGTAGCTTTATTGAATCGGCGCGGGCAAGTTCGACGTGTTGGATTTTTCGGTAGCCTCTTCTTGAAAAATGAATCTCTCATTCCCTCGGCTTTTGTCGTAAAAAAAGAGACGAACGGTGCGGAACGACACATATCGACGACAACGAAAAAAAAGTCGCTTGTCATCGATCCCCCGACGCGCGACGCTGACGAGCATTGTCGTCAGCGGCCATATTTTATTTACGACGTATATTGCGCCCGTAGCGACCAAATCCTCGACGTGCCGATTCACGCTTTAATCCGCAGCTCCGCTCTCCTGCATATCTCTCGTGGTACTTCTTGTTAAACAAAATAAAATAGAGATCTTTGAAAAGTTGATTTTGCGCGAAGAAATTTCATTGGTTATCTCTGCACATGACAACAACATTAAACTTTCACTTGACAGACAAGCCAAGACCCCGCGAATAAAGTACCTGTAATTTTCGAGAGAGCAGCAGGGAAACGAGACTCAAAGGGACGCGGTAGCTCAGGAAACAATATTCACCGATATCGTCATAAACGCGAGCGAGCGAGCGAGCGAGCGAGCGAGAACTATTCTATTACGCTTACTGATATCCGATACAAAGTTGGGCTTCGAGTCTGGCTAAGATGGCCGCAGAGACGAGAGAGAAGATCAGGAGTAGCTCCACTCTCCTTGAGCCCGCCGTTTGGAACGCATCTCAAGAGGGAAGTTGCATATAAGAGAAGAGCTTTGAGCTACGGAGAATAATAGGATTCGCACGGGTAGTAACCTCCGGTCTACGTGCGACTTTATAGCGTTCGATGTCTCTCTCTCGCTACGGCTTCTTGATTTATTGCCAAGTTAAACCCTTCTGCGTCTCCGTCGGCATATATGTATAGCCGTTCGATATGCAAACCAAAGAGCAGAGCTAGCTCCGAGGGCACGCTTATATTCGTATGGGTTCGCGTCGCGCTTGCACGGGATACCCTTGACTGAATGTCGATCAGTCCGGGCAAGCGATGGAAAAAGGAAAAATGTAGCCTTTGAGTGAGGTTACGATCTATATTGAGCATCGCTGCTCGACTTACCTCGGATTTTCTGTTCGTCCTGCAACTGACGTTCAAGATTGTCCTTGACCTGTCGCTCCCTCAGCACGTCCATTTGAAGTTCGGCTGCAAACAAACAGGAAAATGCACGTGAGTATGGCTTGCGAAAAATCGAGCGACGATGATTGTATCTTCTGCGAATCGTAATTGAGTGCACGCCACTCTCGACAACAGACGATAAATCCATCTCGCAGAAGGATCACACGGGCAAATCGTGGATCCGCTAATAAATTAACGGTTTAATCCTCTCTCTCGCGCATGAAAATTGTAAATCCAAGCGAGATTCCGCTGAGGTCAGGTTAATTTGGCAATGAGAGTCCTTCTACGCGTACGCACGGAGCGAGTCGAATGTCGCACGCTTGGCTGGTTCCGTGATTAAATCCGGGAGCATAGTTAGTTCTAATAGAATTATACCAAGACGCAGTATAGTTTCTTCGTTCGTTCGGTCCTCTCCCGACGTCATCGCGACTTTCTCAAGGGAGCTCCAGTGGCAAATTAGCCATTTCGAATCTTGTCCCGACGAGGTCCGACGGGACATAGCTACGCAAGGCTTTTGCTTCATTTCGCTTCATTTCCGTGATTTCCGACTATACGACGACTACTCGGATTGTCAACGAGCTTCCTCGAGCCTTTTCTATCCTCATTCGAACACGTTGAAGCACGTCAATTGTCCCAGACATCAAAATATTTCCAAGTCGCAAATGAGATTTCGTGTAAGATTATACAGTCGAGCATCATAAGTCACTTAACGCTCTTAAATCCCACAAAAGAAAAGCGAGAGTCTGGCTAAGGGAGTTGCGGGCTGTTGGACTCTCTCGAGTTGCACTCCTTTGCGGTATATACGTACACGTCGGAAGTGGTCCTGTTTCTTGCCTCTCTTTTTTTTCCTCCTTCTCCTTTTTGGAGCGGGAGAAAGTAAGGCGATATAACCGGAGAGAGCTGCCAAATCAGACCGGCTAATTCTTCGTCACGAAAAAAAGAGCCGGGAAACGACACCCCTGCTTTGCTTCTCTCACCCTAAATCCGGTCTTCTTTTTTTCTCCAGTTGCTTGCTCTCTCGCTCTCTCGCTCTCTCGAACGCCCCCCTATCGAGCTAAACGAGCCGTGTCGCTCGTCGTTCACCGAATTCCTTCTTATTCTCGCACGAGTCTACTATATATGTATATACAGTCAGCAAGCCACACGACAGTTCTTACGCAAACAGACGAGCTAAAGCTCTCTCACTCGACTTATGCTCTCTCTCTCCCCTTCCTTCATCGTGCTGCCAGTCATTTTTTATTCATCGCAGTTTCAGCTGAGCTGCCTTATTCGCGCCCTCTCTCTCTCTCTCTCTCTCTCTCTCTCTCTCTCTCTCTCTCTCTCTATCTTGGATTGGATTATAATTGCATAAATAATCGGTCATTTGACTTACAGCATCGCTTTTCACTGCTTACAATCTAGGATTGGATAGAAACGTCGATATTTGCAAATGGAACATGAAACACAAACATTAATCGACAAGACAAGCAAATAAATATAGTCATTCCCGATCATGCCATTAAGGTTCGACGATGCCTTCCAGTAATACTCAGTCGCGTGAGCTTTTTATCGAAACCCGCTTTCTCGTTGTCAGCGGCTGCGCATCTGTTGGCAATTTGGCGGCACTGCGCTTCGGTCCATTAGCGGCGCGGTAAACTCTTCGCACGAAGATTCAATTTGAATGCTAACCAGAATAGGAAGTTGGCTTGCCGGTGCGCTGCTCGCAGCTCGGCCTCGGCGAAGTATATATCCTGTTATTGCCAATTTCGCGATGCGCCCAGCTCACTTTAGTGATCGTCTAGATTATCACCATCTCTCTTGATACGCTCGGTTCTCTGTCTTTTATCCGTGGATAATTGGAATTTTATTACCCGGCCGATGCGAGATCCAACGACTATATCCTTGTAAATTTTTTTTCGCTTTGTTTTATTCTCGTCGAACACACGTCTGTCTGATGCGTGTGTACGCGTACGCTTGGCTCGCGCGTTCGTCGCGTGTCTCGGTGCGATTTTCGTGCGAGGATATAGGCTGTCGTTTCGATGGCTGAGGCCGCAAGAAACGAGCTGTAATTCGCCGCCGAATCAATTGTACGTTGTGCGCGAGCTTTCGCGTTTCACAAACGCCGTAACGTCCAGTTTCTCGTTTGCGATCGATCAAATGTTTACGTTTCGCGCGATCAACTATTGAGCGCGGCATTGATCTTCCGGCAAAGTGCTAAATTCCCGGCTGTATTGTCCCGCGGAACATGCGTCAAGACGGCACTCTGGAATGTCAGCTGCACATCGGCGCGTAAGTCGCATAATTCAGAGGCGCACGTAATGCAGCAAGCGAGAGAGAGAGAGAGAGAGAGAGAGAGAGAGAGAGAGAGAGAGCTGAGGGCGAATGGCAACAAGAAGAACAGGAAAAAAGTGTACCGCGCAAAGAGCAGAAGCGAAGCGAAACGAGCGAGCGAGCGGCTAAAAATGATTTACAATACAGCGCACTCCCCGAAAAGCCCGTTTATTTTGCATAATTTAATTAGAGAATTCTCAACGAGCGCGGCCAAGATTTATCTCGACGGGCAAAATTCGCAGCCATGTCGCGCTCGCGCCCGAGAGAGAGAGAGAGAGAGAGAGAGAATCTAGTGAATCAATTATGCCAAGTGAGAAGAGAAGAGCGCAGCGACAAGACGCCTTGAATATAAGAAAGCATATTGGAATTAGAATTAACGCCTCTTGCGATCGCGTTAAATTTTCAGAAATTAATAAGCCAGAGGGACGAGCGCGCGATAATGAATGTTTCGGAAAAACTTTATCTCTCGATGCTATTCTGAAATTCTGTGCCGACAGCGCGGCTTGTTCCGTTGAAAACTTGAATTGAATTGCGCAAAGAAAAATAATTAATATTGAAATTCTTCGGCGCATGTGTTCTCCCTTTATTTCAATTAGCTATGAGCTTAATTGCGTCATGCCTCATAAAACGCGTCTGATTTAAAGTCACGATTGGAATAATATCGTCTTGCTTCATGAATTCCATGGAAATTATTGGCGTTTAGGCTGATCCCTTCATTTAAAATGTACGAAAGAAAAAAAAGTGATTGCTTTCGAGTTCACGAATGTCGATTAAATTAAAATTAAACAAAAGATTAATTGAATGACCGAACAGTCCTATAAATCTTGTAATAATCATTGTGCATTATTGAAAATTATCCGCATTAGATTCAGCAATCGTAATAAATCGATGCTTTATTATTTCAATTAAACATCCGGATCGGGAAGAGAAGGCAGTAAAGCATGAATTAGGAACTAACCGACGGATCATTTTATAATTTACAACCGCGCGGGAATAGCCTATGGGTTTCAGTTGTGAGAGCCGTTGTCGTGTGCGCTTGCGCTGTTGTTTTGTCCTTCTCTTATTTGCATCGCCATGCCGCCGCCGACGCCGCCGCTCAAGAGCCAAATCCCCGCGCAATAATTATTTCATATAGAGCACTGCGCGACGGGGGAAGATTCCTTCCTTATAGCCATAGTCTAATTCTCATAACAGTTACCCTAACTGTTATTTTAAGAAATGAATTTTCTAATGTTTGCTGCGTGCGAACGCGAACAAAGGAATATGCTCTCGGACAAAAAAAAATTAATAATTGCGGCTCTGCTGCGGCTAAAAAGTTTTTAGCCCTAATTACTTCTTGCGAGAAAGGAAGATCTATCCAATACAACAATGTGATCGTTAACTTTCTAATTATATTACGATATTGTTAAAAATATGTACTGAATGAATATATTAACCGTCTTTTATTGTTGTTAATATGGACTAAATTACACCACAATTCTTATCCTTGGTAAGAATTTTTCAATGGAATATTCCATTATGTAGATTATTTTTACGGTAACTCATATTATATTTACGATAGAAAAATAGAAAGTTTGTTTCTAATTGAGACGATGTCCCACTACACTATACAGCAACTTGAGCACATTTGAAAATCGTAATTGTCCGAGCAATGCGAATCTGGAAATCAATTTGTTGAGAAAACAAATGGAAAATTGAAGCGCAAGGAAATAAATCTTATGTTATAATCTTAGATAATCCAGGGCGTTTGGCAGCGGCGGCGGCTATTTGTCTAGGAACCGCTGCGCTAGCGGCAAATGGAAAGGGCTTTATTATTATTGTTTCCACCCTTGCATATTAGAGTTGAGTTTCGGGCCGACGATTAAGTGTATAGCACGCGGGAAGTTTGTCATGGCCCAGAGGCTATGATTCTTAGACGCGTGGATCGAATCGACGGGCTACGACTAACTTTGCATTTTCGGCCTATACTCCGATTTATATATGCCTACCAATCGTCGTACATCCTCTGCATTTGTATATTAGCGCCAAATTCATGCCCTTAGCTGACATTGCGATCTGGCTTTTCGTCGACCAAGCAGCAATAGCGAGATGAAAGACAGGTAGCGAACAATGGATGTAAGCCGAAAGCTCACGAGGCGAGTTGAGTTCCTGGATAGTTATTCCTTTGCACTCAGATTAGAGTTCTTGCTTGGGATACTGCAAAGGGGTGGTTTCGTAGAGCACCGTCGGGATTTAAGACGGACTTAGCCCTTGTTGCCGCTCGCTGACCATTTTGCCTCCCATTAACCATTAACGGATCTAATGAAAATAGGATTACGAGGGAGGGAGAGAGCACGCAAGCCAACGATTTAACCTTCGCGCCTACTACCAAGATACACTTTTTCTCGATCGTTCTCTCCACATCGCAACAAATCGCGCGAAAAGATCTCGCTTAAGAGCTTCGACGCTTGACCTTTACGATTCGTCCTTTTTTTTGTTCTCGCGGTAACTCCTAATCTGTAATCGCTGGCCCGCGCAAAGAAACATTGGCGACTATTCCGTCGGCATCAAGACGGAAAATTTCACACGCACACGCACGCGTGAAGCCAGGTAATCGTAATCGATCGGCTGTATCGGCGTTTTCTTTCATCCCGGAAAAAATCCCTTCGGAAAATAAGACACGGGCGCCGCGATCTGTGGTTAGTATATCGCGAGAAGGAAGGGAGGGAGGGCGCCAA